CATTTTTAAAGGTCAAAGCAAGGAATTGGATATTGATATTGCTACATGATGTAATGGAGACTCAATTGGTGGTATTAATGCTTAGCATTCAGTCCAATGGGTCAAAATTATATCTAGGCAATAACATGACCACACATACACTAACAAGACATGAACTTGCATCAAAAACAGGAAAAAACAGGTGCATATATGCATTGAGGATGCTGACAACAAAACTCCTTTTAATTTTGAAGGAATTTAGTTGGATGAAGCACAAATGTATACATACACTTACACATAAGCAAAAATCAACATTACAACAGGCTGGGCATCAAGCAATCTTCAAAAAAGGTAAATCACAGACAGAGCAAAACTGGATGGTACGACCTATATTCTATGTTCTAGGGAATCCCCAGGTGGTGGTATTAGTACTTAGTACTCAATCCACCGGGGTGAACTTAAACATTGAGTATAGGGAGGTATCAAAAACAGTCATAACAATTAATACATTGACATTTGGAGTCAAAACAGTACTGGAAAAGGAAAAAGCTAGGAAAAAGGAATACATTGCTGGAATACATACAAGGACAGTACCAAATACAACTTATCAGGGAAGGGATGTTACAAATTTGAGCACAGATGCCACATGCAATCCCATTACCGGTCAACAGTGTGAGGCTTTTGTCAATGGCGTACCAGATGGTGTTATCTACAGGATCTTCAGAGCAGCAGCTAGCCAGGAGAAGCATGAGTTCAAAAGGCGCTTCCACAGTATGATTCACATGGATTCAGGTGTATGCATGGAGATTCAAAGAAGAAATCGAGTTAGTAGGTGTGATTGGAACAAGAATGAAGAAGGCAGATCTAAAAATGAAGGGAGGGAAAGGCGATGTTACCTATGGGAGCCTCATTTGAAGAATCGATGGAACCTAGGTGACTTCACAAGAAGCTTGGACTCGTTTGTACCATCTCTCGTTAACATGGAGACAACGGGAAGGTCAGATGCAGCAGCAGAAGGTCGGGTGAAGAAGAAGAGCAAAGGGGAAAGGGTAGTGAGAGAAGGGTGTAGAGAGATAAGGTCTGAAAGAGAAATGGGGGAAATGATAAGGCTTAGATATATTTGTGGTGTCGGTGGTCAAATGGGGCTACGAATGCAAATTTGTAATGGTAGGTACAAAACAGGAAAATGGGGTCAAAATAGGCTATTTGTGCAATTAGCTGGACAGGAGATGGTCTGCATGCAAATGTGGTCATTGATGCAAGTGAGGGATAACAGAAATAGGTTATAATTATAAGGCTGAATCAGGAAGGGGGAAAATAAAGAGGCTAGCCGTGCAATTAATTGGCCAAGGGTGGCGTGAGTATTTGTGGCTACAGGTGCAAGGCAGAGGCGACCTGGGCTGTTTCTGGTTTGGGCCTCTCTGGGCTATTAAAATGCTGGTCTGCTCATTTACAATGTTTAAAAGATGGTCTAATAGAGTTGCATTAATTGGCCACAGGTGCAAATTGGTAATGGAGAAGCTGATGGCTATTGCTGCAAAACGCTGGACATGGGCTTGCTGGGCCAATTTGGACTATTTTTTTTCGGACTGGATCAATGAGTAGTGTCTTTCATGGGCTAGTTTATTTTACACTATTTAGTAGTTATTATGTGATATCAATTTTGAGTACATTTCTCAATTTTGATAATAGGACTTATGTAGAGTTCAATTTTTATTTTGTACACTTATTAGGACTCCATGACATTTTGTTTTCCTTTATTTTGTTTTATATAAATAAAAACTAGCCCTAGGCAATGCCTAGTGGATTTTGCTAAAAAAAAAAAACCCTAAACCCTAAACCAAAGCGATTTTTCTCTGCCTTCTCTCTAGAAAGGCGATTTAGAGAGAGAAAGCTGCGATCAGCTGCCATGGCCAATCCGGCCGGCGGCCAGCCATCTTTTCCGGCTGGTCAGCCCCCTCTAATGTCTGCCCAGCCTTCTACTACACCAAACAATAATTCCCAACCTTCAAATCCATCTAGCGATAAACCAGCGCCCATGAACTACGCTAAAGCAGTAAAGCCTACGTTAAACAACGCTGCCATGCACGATCGAGCAGTGGTTACAGAACCAATTGCGCTTAGAAGAGCTACATTGCATCAAGGACAACCTTTGGTTTGCTTTACTGAAGCAGAAGTGGAACGCATGAACGTGATCGAAGGTTTGCAGTATGCAGTGGTCTGCAAATTCTCATATGGTTGGCCGGAGATTAACGAATTACGTTGTATCCTTCCTATTCAATGTGGTATCAAGGGTGAATGCACAATTGGGTATTTACGAGATAGGCATATCTTAATTAGACTTACACTGTGGCAGGACTTCATTGAATTTTCATCAAAGGGAGTACATTATGTTAAGGACAAGTTTGGAGATGAATATCAATTTAGAACGTTGATATATGATGCTAAATTCAAGGTTGGAGAGGAGACACCAAAAGTTATGGCATGGATTTCTTTTCCTAATCTGCTGCCAACATATTTTGTTAAGGAATGCCTTTTTTCATTAGCTTCTGCAGTTGGTAAACCATTACATCTTGACCAAGCTACACTGAACAAGACCAGACCAAGTTGTGCACGTGTGAAAGTATTAGTTGACTTACTAGCTGATCTCCCTAACAAGGTTAGGATGGATATTGTTAATGAAAGCACTGGAGAGATAAGAACTGAATGGGTGAATATCAAATATGACTATCTTCCTAAATACTGCAAAGAATGCAAGCTACAAGGGCATGATCTGTTGGAATGCTGGAGGGTGCATCCTGAGCTTATGGTAAATAGGAATGAGAAAAACCAGCCTGGTGTAGATAAGGAGAAGAGTAAGAATAACAACCCTTTGATGATTCTATCAAGTGGGAAGGTTGTTGGCAATGTTGGAACTCAGTGGAAAGAGGTGAAGGATAAAAGAAATCAAGCTAAAGATAAGCAGAATGGGGAAGGAACAAAAAATGGGAAGGAAGTAATACCAGTGGATAATCAAGTCTCCATGATGCCTCAGCAGATGCAGACAAACAATAAGTTTGCAGTACTAGAAGTTGAAACAAGTGAAGACAATGCAAACAAACAATTGGCCTTGGTAGAAGAGCAGGTGGTTCAGAATACAACTGTACACACAAAGGAACCTGGAACTTTGAATCCTACAGCACCTATTTTTATTCCTGCTTCACCTGGGAATGAAAAAGGAAATAGAGGAGGAAACAAAAAGCCAGTAACAGAGCCAGCAGGAAGTTCAACACCAGCAGGCAACAACAAACACAAGAGCAAGGAAGTGCCAAAGCACCAAGAAATAAGGAGTACTGATCATCAGAACAAGGAAACAACTGCCTCATGGGTACAAAGAGCATTTAAAGATAATTTAGTTCTCACAAATACATCTGTGCAAGAAGTTCCATCTCAGGATACTAGGGTAGACCTGACACTTGCAAAAGTGACTGACAAGGAGAACCTAGAAGATGCAGAATATGAAATTTTCAAAAGCAAGGAAAGAACAAATTGGAATGGAGGAAGGATGTGGTCAGATCAAGATGAAGAAGATACAGAAGAAGGAATGCTCCCTGATATTATGCCAAGTGAAGAAGAAGATGGTGGAGACAAAGGAGAGGATGAAGATCAAAGTGTAACTGGGAAAAACAAGGAGATAAAAAGGACAGAAGGGCAAGGAGTAAATAATATAGAAGGTAAAGGCAATGATCAGCAACACAGTAAGGACAAGGAGAACAACATTGTAGCAGAGAAATCTGCAACACATGGACCAGATAGAAATAGCATAGATCCAGGTGGAACAGAACAGCAGAAGGACATTGATGTCACTGTGAGACATACAACAAGTAATGTCCAAATCACAAAGAAGCAAGGGGGAGAAATTCAGGAAGCCAAAGACCAAGCAGCCAACAAGGAAAGTGATGAACAGGCAATGATTCCCATGCAGCAGAACATTGCAGAGGTAGAAGCTATTGGGCCTGAAGGAAAGGATATGGATGAGGAATCCACTGCTCAGAACTTTCTCAATGTGGCCAGACAAGGGGATTTATCTCCTAGGCATATTGAACAAGCTAAATCAGCAGCAAAGGGAAGAAAGAAGCAAGCAAAAGACACTCCAGTTGTTCCAGCAGGTGGAGTTCAAACAAGAAGAACACTGTCCAAATCACTCAATCATTAATGGATGCTATCATATGGAATGTTAGGTCAGTGAATACCATGCAGGCTTTTGAAAGACTGATTCTCATGCATAGACATCATCACTTTGAATTTATAGGAATTATAGAGCCTATGCAGCAGTCTAACAAAGTGGAGAGGTACAGGAATAGAATTGGTTTGGCACATGCAGTGGTCAATGTTTCAAACAAAATATGGGCTTTCATAGATGAAGTTTTTGAGGTGACAATTCTCTACAATATGGTGCAGCAATTGACTCTAAAGCTGTTTCACACTGAAACACATGTGGAACTTATACTCACACTAGTTTATGCTAAATGTGATCCTATAGAAAGGATAGAACTGTGGGATTCCCTATATGCAATGGCAACAGATATGACAAGTCCATGGCTAGTGGGAGGAGATTTCAATGTCATATGGGATGAGGAAGAAAAATTTGGAGGGCTACCTGTTTCTTTAAATGAGGTAGATGATTTTAGACATTGTATCAATACTTGTAATTTGGCAGACTTAGGATTTAAAGGGAGCATCTATACATGGTGGAATGGCAGATCAGAGGAAGACTGTATATTTAAAAGATTGGATAGGTGTCTTGGAAACATGGAATTGCAGCAGACATTCCCTGGCCTTGAGATCACACACTTATCCAAGACAGGGTCTGATCATTGTCCCATGTTATTGAAGTGTGACATAGAGGTTGAACCTATTAAGAAGCCTTTTAGATTTCTTAATTTCTGGACAAAACATGAAAATTTTAAGGCAGTGGTTAAGGAGAACTGGACTGCTGATGTTGCTGCAAATCCATTCATCATGTTTAACCACAAGTTAAAAAATTTAAAGAAGATACTGTCATCATGGAGCAGATCAACCTATGGAGATATCTTTCAAAAGATAGCAAGCTTAGAGGAGGTGGTCCTAGTACATGAAAAACAATTTGAGGCAGTCCCAACTCAGATGAATAGGGAAAGGTTACATAAAGTCAAGGCAGAATTGATTAGATACCTGGCATTGGAGGAGGAATTTTGGAAACAAAAAGCAGGAATGGCATGGTTCAAAGATGGGGATAGAAATACAAGGTTTTTTCATGCACAAGTTAGAGGAAGAAGGAAGAAATTACAGCTGAAAAGAATTAAGGACAGTAATGGCAACTGGATAGAGGAGGATACACAAATTGCAGAAGAGGCTGTCAACTTTTATAGGGATCAATTCACAGAAGATGTAGTGCCTTCAGTATTTCATATTATGGATCATGTGCCTACACTGATAGATGAGGAACAAAATGAGATGCTGACAGCAAATCCTACTAGAGAAGAAGTTAAGAAGGCAGTTTATGGTTTAAATGGAGATTCTGCAGGTGGACCTGATGGTTTTACTGGAGCCTTTTTCCATACTTGTTGGGATATAGTGGGAGAAGATATCTATGCAATGGTTCTGGCTTTCTTTAATGGTCAGCAACTACCTAAAAGTATCACTCACACTAATCTGGTATTATTACCTAAGAAGAAGGAGGTTAATACATTTTCTGATCTGAGGCTTATAAGTTTGAGTAACTTT